AAAACTGAAAAGCATGAAGGGAGGGTATTTCACCGTAGATGATATCGTTGCGACACTGAAAGCACAACAGGAAATTCTATTTTAGGTGTGGTTTAGACTAGAGAAGGACAGTGCATTTTACTCGAAATATTTTTGTTATCCATGAAGAGCGATGAAGCATTTTGAAATAAAATTCAATGTTTTAAAGTCAAGGTTTGAAATATCACTAAATAAGTCTATTTTTGCGACAAACGCGATCGGGGCTGTGTCACGCAACCACCATAAATCTGAACTTTAAACTGCGCCGGTATCCAAACCAAGTATGCTAATGAGCTGAAAAGTTGTAAACAGATACAAATTTAGACCCCCTTGTGCCTAACGAAAATACAAAGTTTCCTGGTACTTTATTATTGGATTTTCGAATTTGAAGATGTCCGGGAAAATAACATATTCTAAATTTTTGATAGAAAAAATTCTAAGAACATCTACAGCTGTATTGACAGCACCTCTGATCATAGCCACACCCTTGACTCCAAGTATGGAAGACGAGGAAGGAAGATAAAGGAGTTTTCATGCGGAGATTTATCGAAGATTGAAGTGATAGTTTGTTGACAGGGAAAGTAATTAACTATACCCCTTCCCCCTCATCAATACGCCACCTACCCACCTCCCCCCCCACAGTTACAGCGACTCTTATAGGCGAACATTTGGGTTAGTAACCATCAGGAGGAAAAGAACAATGTTGATTCTCATTAATTTAAAAGCTGGTGATATCTTAAAGACTTCAAGAGGACACAGAGAGTCTGGAAAGCGCCTTTATAAAACTATGAAAAGATCTCAAAGAAGAAATCTATAAGTTAAACCGAAGCAATGCGTTCCGAAAAAAAAAAAAAACACCGGTTCCTCCCCCAGATAAAACCCCTGCAAATTTTTTGGACTCTGTTTGTGTCATCATTAAATGATCTATGGATCCTGTACTCAAAGAGTAACAAACAGATTCTCACCCTCCAACTCTTAGTAGTTAGGTTAGGGTTAGGCTAGTGCGAAAAAAGTCCAGCAGTGCATTTCACTGCTTAACTGAACAGTAAGAAAAGGAGTTAAGACCAAAGGTGGTTGTTTTAGGTTTACTAAGTGAAAGAATGTAGTTGCTACGAAGATTACAGGAAGAGGACCGGAGTGAAAACATATTCTTCACAAAAGCAGGAAAATGAGTGAAAAACAAACTCCTATATAATGGTATGAGGAAATTCTGTGCGCGCTTGTTGCACAACGAAATAGAGTTGACTTTTGAAAGAAGAGTGGTGTATGAGGACGAGCAATCTCCAAGATCTAAGTATTCATTTATTTAGCGTTTCGAGCTTATCTGGATCGCGCGCCCCACAAAAGTGCTAGACAAAGGAGCGATGATAAAAATGAGGTAAAATTTACGCTTTGTATAGCTTAAGTAAGATTTCCCTGCGTATGAGTTGTCGAAAGCACAACATAACATTAAATTGATTAATAATCTTTTTGTCTTCTCGGTTTTCTAGGACCAGTGTCAATCATCAACACCCAGAGAGGTTTACGAAGGGCACTTTGTTTTCTACTTCTTGAAGTAGATCTTACTAATATACTTAAAGTTACTGTCAACAAAGTAGAGCGCGTTCTGAAATAGTTGGAAAATGTATGATTTGTTTAAAACAAACCTGGAAGCAGTGTCCATTGTTATCATCCAGAGAGGTGTACAAAGGACTCTTTTACTCGACTTCATAAAGGTGTATGCAATTGATTGCACACAAGCCCATAGAAGCAGTCTCTTACGAGTACAATATATTCACTTTAGAACAATTAGGCTGATGCAAGTTTATAGTTCAATGTTCTATTTACTCCCATTAAAAGAGGGCAGCAGTGTTTCATGTAAGGCAGTTCGTATGCCTTGTATAGCAACAGTACAACATCAACATTAGCCTGCAGCTTTTTTAATTGTCTGATAACTCCAATTCTGGCTTTGTCAGTCGCGATAACCAGAGTCAACACTCAGAGGGGTATACAAACTGTAGCGTGCCTGTTCCTCGCTTTGAGTCAGTGGAGGCAAGTTAAAGAGTGGGTAAGTCATAACGCCTATTTCAAAACATGTCAAAAATCTCGTAAAAAAATGGGGCGGGATCGGGATCCGAGCGTAAAAAGGGGCGGGATGACGGGATTGAGAGGAAAAAAAAAGGCGGGAAAGCGGGTTTTGAAAACCCCTATTGTGGACCCTCTTTTTACTAAACGTGGAGCGCGACAGATTCGTTCTAGGGAGCCGTGGGGCTTGGTCCTCAGTTTTACAAATCCCGTATTTACGCTCGGTGGAAAAAGTTCGTCTATTACAAGGTCAGTCTCTCTAACATGTGTTTGCATGTCAAGGGTCAATTCACAGTTAAATAACTCGCGTCTAGGAATATAATTAATGACTTTCAAATTATTTATTCCGCCATCGGTTGTTAGTGTAACTGTTGCCATTTGTGTCGAGATTCTCAGGCAGATTGCAGTTTCGAATCTTTCTGAATAACGTCAGTTGCCTCCTAAGAACGAATTCGTCACGGAGGAATGACAGGAGTCGCGCATGCCCGTTAAACGTTTTAACTTTCGAAGGAATGGCAACAGACAGTGAATCTCCATTATACAATCCACGTATATTCACGCTGTATCTCACTGCCACCAAAGATGTTCACTCCAACGCGTCAAGATGCAAATGGCTCAATTTCTGTTTTACGACCATGATGCAACGCAATCAGAATGCGCACACCGCCCGATTAGACCCTGGATGTCTCTCTCTTTTGT